TAAGCTCACGCCTCTCAATAGTAGAATGGCATTTAATAGAGGGATGTGGAGAAGAATGGGATGCTAAGATGAAGTCACATACACACATAACCAAGAAGAATGGACAGCTGAATTCAAAATACATCAACATTTTCCAGAATTTAAAATCCTGAATCATGACATGACACTAGTGGAATTCAGGTGTTTCTGGTACATCTATCTCTCTATTTACTTACTTAGTGATGAGGAAATAAATACATACATACAATAGAAAGAGAATGAACATAGAATACACGCCATGCCATTGTGTCATTCTGTTCATATGGAGGTCAATGAACAAATTAGGAGGAGTCAGCTCTTTCCTTCCACTAAACTAGCCATCTCATTGGCCCTAACCTGATAGTTTTCATGATCAACTCGTGACTTTCTGCCTTAGAGGGTTTTCTTGTGGTTCTGAAAGTTAGAGAATATTTTAATATTAAAAGGCATTGTGAAAAATTTGTGCAGAGTTTTGTTTCAAATGAATGATACTGTTAATAAACATAACAGGCACTCAGAGTTGAAGGCAGGAAAGAGCTGACACATCAAGCCAGCCACTCAGAAATTTCTGCTGCCTCCTTGGTTGGTGTCTGGGAGTTGGGATTTCAGTTTATCTTTATATTTATATATACATGTATATGCAGTTAGATATGGTTGTACATATTAGGTATATCATATAGATACTTATAAAAATATGCACATAACTATACTCATAGTTCTGCATACAACATGAATACCATACACATGCATACCAATGCCACAAAGGTTGTTTGTTTCTTTTTAATTTCTTGTTATGCCAATTTACTGTACATCTAAATTAATTTCAAAGTATAATTCTGTGTGTGTGTGTGTGTGTGTGTGTGTGTGTGTGTGCAAAGTTGTAGACACATACATGTTTTTAAATATACGAATGTAGGCACATATTTGTGTGTGTTGTATGGAAACAAGCATGTGTATATTGTGGTACAACATGATGGTGCCCTCTTCCTTTATCATGGGGTAATAGTGCTATTACAGTGGGATGGAGCATGCTTGATCATGCTTCACTCTGTGCATGGAA